CCCCCCCCCAAGCGCCCCAGAAGGCCTGATACTCAGACTACCCAAGCAATAGCCTACAGATTGGGTTTCCTGTGGTAGATCAATTTCGTACCCAGAGCCCACGTTCTTCTTGGTCAGCACTCGTTTGATATTGATAAATCTAATGATTGGGATTCCTGTGTTAGTGTTTTAAAGATGGCGGCCAACCAGTGGGGAAACATGAATTCTCTTCCTGATGAAATTCTTTATTACATCTGTGACTATTTAGAAACTATAGACAAGCTACGCCTCGCTTCTGTTTGTCAACGGCTTAGGAAAATACTTTCTTCTCCGTTGCTGAACAAGTGAGTTTATATTCATAAGCATATTGGTTTGGATTCCCCGGCTTGGTTTAATATAGATGGCAGGTTCGGAACTCTTCTCAAATTGAACTCCCACTTATACGTTTGGAACCCGTACACAACGATACTTCCCAGTTACAGGAGCATTCTTAGATTTATGTCCCTTAATGAAAACCATATTCCAATAAGTCTACTGCTCTCAACTACCTAAGAATATAGACCCTTTGCATTGATTTCCTAGAGGGATTGTTCTGCGAGACAAACTAATAGGCCGTCTTTTCTTATGCAAAGAGAAAACATCCATTGTTTTATACCCCAGAACAATTCCTCTCGGCACTCAGTGCAAGGGGTCTATAGCAAAGTTTGCGCTGCATCACCTATTGATATTAATGTGCCAATCAGAGATCTATTGGCTACTGAAACAAAGAGATCTTTTGTCTTGATAGTTTGCAAATTTGATTGAGAAAATATTCCTGACACTAATGTTTGTAAACAGTGAATATCTTACTAGAAAATACAAGTGACAAGTGGGATATTTCATGCTGTTCCACAAGAAAGCATGTACAACTATTTTATCCCATGCCATCAAAAATAGTGAAGAAATTCAAAATGCTGCAATGCCTGCTGGGAAGAAATAGTGGAATACTGCTAAACAGTATACAACAGCTTTCCTGAATTCTGATTGACTGTATTTTGAATGGTGTGAGATAAAAAGCAGTATGCAATATTTATAAAACTCATTTTTTCTAGGAAAGCATCCTTTAATCATTGCTGGCATGTTCCCAATGAGATCATTCAAAAATATCTTGAAAGAAACAAGGAATGGATTCAACATCTTGAATTGCAAGATTGCTATTGGCTAAAACAAGCCCCGTTAGTTAGAAGCATTAAAAAGTGCACTAACCTGGTTAGTCTGGATGTGAGTGGCTGCACTATATCTCAAAAGAGTGTCATGGAGTTAATGGAGAAATGTAGTAAGCTAAAACACTTTGGTTGGACTGTAGACAAAAAAACATTTTATGATGTTAAAGATCTGAGTTATGCTGATGTTCCTGGACAAGTCAAACAACTCAATTTGTGCTTCAAGAAACTTTCATCAATTAAGTTGGTCTTGTATCAAGAAAAAGGAAACCATTTTTTAATAGATATTGATTTTTTGATACAAATGAAACTCTGCAGATCTCTTGTGTCTAGTCTATGCTTGAAACATTTGGAGTTAAACCTACTTACAAATGGCAATTATGTGTCGCATCCTTTTCATGTAGCCATGGAAACTGCTAACTGTAGAGAGATACCCTCAGGACATTGTCACCCAGCAGAGTTCATCAAAAACATTTTTCCACCAAACGACTCTACAACTGTTATTATGCCATTTTCAACCACTTGTGGATTAATTCCACTTGTTTATTGGGAGAATAAACCCCTTGATGGAGATCTCCAACTCAGAAACATTGACATCTCAGGGACCAGACTCCTGAAAATTAGTAAAGAAAATATCTGTAAATTGTTAAGCTGTCCGTCTTTAGAATTTATAAAAATTGGAGCTGGGCAGTGTTCTAGTGAAGAGTTACTAACTGTCTGTAGCCCAGTTCTGGAATCAATCAACTTTATGAATTCTAGAGATTCTTTGGATTCAGATGTATGTGGTAAATAGTCACTAGCTCAGTACATGAATGGGAATTTTATAAGTCGATTTTTGCAGAGGGAGGAAACACAGAGAAACCAGGAGAAAATTATTGTTAAAGCATAGAAAAGAACCAACAAGCAACTCTACTTACATCTAATACCAAGTTTGGGAATCAAACCAGGGTTTGATTGGTGTGAGGAAAGTGGTCTCACCAGTATACCACCACCCAATTGTTTTAGTGCAAATGAATAGCAGAATATTATTGGCAAATATTATTATTATGAACAAGTTGACTTGAATAGTCTTAATCAGTTTTCTTATGTCAGACCACTTATAGTGACATTCCCCTGAATAAGATTGCTTTAGTTGCTTGCATATTCAAGCATTACTAGTAAAGAAATAATATTCAAGGGAATGATGCAAAACCTGAAATGGAAATCTTATTTAGTCTATTATTTTACCTTAATGCATTTTCCATGTAACCTCAACATATTCGTTTTCCATTTTCAGACTTTAGTACTTGAAAATCTGTTGAAAAAATGTCCAAAGTTAAAGCACATTAACTTGCTGAACACTCACAAGTCATGGTATTGTACTTGTGATCATTCTAAAGACTTCATCAAGACTCTCTCTAGTTTTAAGAGTCTGGTTTCTCTTGCCATAAACCCATGCTGCATTAGAGCCAATGCTAGTGAGGAAAACACATCACAGCAAAACTGTGATAAAGGTAAATCATAATTGCAGATTGGTGTGAGTGGGTATGGTGCTATGTTGACAGTGCTCTATGGTGTTTACCGGTACTAACTGGTGCTGCATGCATGGTGACACATGGTGCACAAGTGGGTTCATAGTTAATAATTCCTTCTCAAAACAATAGACCCCTAGACTTGATTTCCAGCCATTGTGGTTTCTCCATTCCTGGGGGGAGACTTTGCACAAATGACAACCTCATGGCTGAAATCCATGCAGACCACTTGCAGAGTAAGAACGAAGGGGGATGGAGCTTTTAAAAAAATCCTCCATGGGGGAAGGGGGGGGGGGGAGTGTTGATAATTTCTGGAACTACACATTTGTCATTTAAGTGTTTGAAGGAATCTATAACATATTATTAACTTTAGTTCTTTTACATTATTCAGAAAACAGTCCTCTTACACTGGCTGCATTGGCAGAGTCTTGTACAGAGATGACTGAATTTGAGCTGATTGATTCTAAATTCAAGTCTGACATTACAAAACGTGATAACTTGTCAAACTTTTCACAGTATGTGCCTATTTGATAACACGCTTCTTTGTCAATAATATTTGATTTATGAGGATATATTCACTTCATACCATAGTCAGTGTTTGAATTTATGATACTCATTTGTTTCAGACCAATTAGTCTTCCTTCTGATGGGACTATTACTCTTTCCTTGGACACATTAACTTGTTTAAGCCAGTGGAAACATCTACAGAAACTAACACTTGCAGGTAATACATCGGAGGATAATTATGTCATTTCCAAGAATACCTTTTGGCCTGACCTTCTATGCTTTGAACTGGACAATGATTTTGCAGTAGTCCCTGGCTCCCTGCACCAGTGGCAGGTCCAGGATTTTAAAAAGGGGGTTCCAAAACAGCCGCCATACGGAAAAAGCTGGTAAGATTGGTGTCACAAAGGGGGCTTCCAATTTCATCATTATGAGCATAAAGAACATGATGATTGGCTTCGGCTTTACTAGTTCTCACAAATAGGGGGGTTCCATGGAACCCACGGAACCACCCCTRGATCCACCACTGTGTGTCATCTGGTAAGGTGGTTGTGCCTTTGTATTAAAGTGAGACAAATGGTGAGCTTGCAATGATAGAAACGTGAATAATTGTTCAAGGTATTAAAAAAAGGTGTCCATCATTCCAAGCCACCATACCTCTCTCTTCATCTCTTTCGAGATGGTGCAGGGAACTGTGAAGTGGACTATTGCAAAATCATTGTCAGATACACAAAATTATTCATGAACTAATTTAGTGTTTTTTGACAGGTTTCCAAGTAAACAGAGCAGATTTTTTAATTGCAATTTGTCAAAAGTGCACAGAACTTAAGTCACTTTCAATAGCACACCTCAAGGGTCCAGCTCTCAGTCACTCTGGTAATGTAGCATGTCTAAATAAAGCACTGGCTCTCTGTCACAAGCTTAGAGACCTAAGGTAAGTCTTCTTATGTGTTGATTAATAGGACACTAAGACTTAAGTCTTGCATTATAACGCCATTTACTACCACTATCAGAATCCCTTTTTTTTCCAGTTATTCTCATGAGGGAATAAAAATTTGAATAAGAAAGGAAATTTGCTGAGCATTTTAATAATGGTASTAAAATGACGCCATAATGCAAATGGCCTATTGCCCTATTTCACTATGACGTCACTGCTTGTTTATGTGGGGGATAGAATCGCCAAATCCAATAGAAAATCCAACAAAATAGTTTTAATATGTACTAAAAAATATTCTGAGCATTTGCTGGCTATTCTACTTCTCTTCGTGGATTCATATGGGTTTTAGAACAATTTTTGGTGAATTTGTGTTGATTTGACCCCCTCCGACGACCATGATCCTTTGCGTTTAAACAATAGATTGTTTTGATGTGACGTCATAGTGAAATAGGGCAATTGTGACATTTCGTCATTCCAAAATTGCACTGAGGGAAATTATAAATATGTAGCCTGTTGAGGAGAAAAAAATTGAAATATAAATTCATTACTAAATGTACTTGCTYACTTGTCTGTTTAAGGCTTGAACAACCACACTTTGACATCACAAAACATTTTTTGAATGCTCTGCACAGTGCAACAAAATTGGAGAGGATTTGCTTGATGGTAAATCATGGGAAGCTGGCTGTAGAAGAGATTGAACCATGGTTAAACAAGGTAACATTCAGACCAGTTTAGGCTTGGTCACTGTTTTTCCATTTCAGGCCACATGTCATTCCCTAATTTCCTCAGGAGCAAGATTGATCCTTGTGTTAGTCACATCCGTATTGTTTCTTCTCAAGCAATTGCCAGTAATGCTAAAGATAAATTATTTGGACCTAAACAAAAAATAATGCTCAAGGGAATGACTGAAAATTGATTCTGAACAAAAATGAAAGCTTTCTTGCTCAGAATGGTTGTTTGCTTTGATTTGCAGTGTTCCAAAGTAATTTTTRTCCAGATGTTTTGTGATATGACATTGGCCTTGTGCAAAAAACTAAAGCAAAAGCTAGAATCCAAGTAAGACATACATACTCCTATTCTTTTATAGTTTTAAAGTGACTATGACCCCTAACTCAATGTTTTCA